GTGGCGCCATGAGATAACAGACACCTTGGGGTGGAAGTGCTCTTTCAGCAGCTTCTTCAGGTCTGCGTAGCTTACAGACTCTACTGGAACAGGTGCTGCAAGGTTTTCTGCGATTTCGAAGGCGTCTTGGCCGCAAACGCAAAGCAGGGTGGCGGCCTTCAAGCTATCTTCCCTCACTTGGTTTGCCTTGAAGTAGTTCTCCATTCTGGATACGTAGGACTCCCACCGCTCTGGATGTGAGACGTCGAATTCCGAAAGCCTTCCGATTTTCGCCATCTTCGGATCTTCAGGAGACGGGTCTATCAGCCAGCCTACCCCCGAATGCGCACCGGATTGGCGGGCAGCTGCCGAGTCGACGTCGTTCCTCTTCCGCCGCTCAGGACTCCTTGGGTAAGCTTACACTTCTTCCTTTCCAGGTAGTGCAAGGTATCCCATCCTCGTCGCCAGTGTTGCGTCCTTGGCGGGAAAGCAGACACGAGAAGCAGCTGGAGTTCTCAGTTTCTTTTATTCAGCGTTCAGCTTACAGGAAGATGGCTTCAGCCTCGCCCAAACGCCTCGCAGCCTCTTATATAGGCAACTCCCGGGTAAATGGGTTACTTTTCCCGCGCCAGCACCCGCGCATGCGCACGGCGCTGGCGACAGCCTGTCTGGTCCCGGGCAGCTTTGCACCTGCCCGGGACTGCCTGCAAACGCCCGAGCCGTTTGCAAAGGCTCGGGACATAACAGTTTGGAAGTGGTAGGCTTGCCTGTTCTCTTAAGATAATATAATACATTTAAAACTTTCTGCACAACAAGCTTCTTTAAGCCAAACCAATAAATTCATTTTCTGTTTCAAAGTGAAGAAGACTAAAAATATTACTACAGGTGGTCCGGGGTTAAGAACATTTGTTCAGCAACCATTCAGAATTGCAAAAGTGCTGAATGAGGGGGACTTATGACTGGTCCTTGGGTTCTGGTTGTCACATCGTCCCTGTGGTTAAGTGATTATGATCAAGGTCCCAGCATTCAACTTGCAATTACAGCATCACAGCGAGCCATGGTCACACAATTGCAATTTCTCTACCAACTTCCTGCAAGCAAAGTCAGTGGGGAAGCCAGCAGGAAGTCAAAAGTTGTGGCCAAGTGAAGTCCTCACCTAACAACCCACACAGTCCTTACTTAACAATGGCAACTGAAAATGCCAGAACTGCTGTTGCTATGTGACACATTCACATGATGTTATTCTTTACCACATCACTTGGCATGTGTCACTTATCATGGCAATTCTTGTCCCAATTGCTGTTGTAACCTGAGGACCACCTGTAGTATTTTTGAAAGGGAGGTGAAAGCATTTATACTATATTTAACAATAGGTCAAAAAGAAGCGGCATACTCCCTCTAGTGGCCCAAAGTGGGTTTTAAAAAATCTAAATCCTGACTCTTCTGAAACCAAACAGCACTTTCCTTCCTTCCCTCCCTCCCTCCCTCCCCCCTCTCTCTCTCTCTCTCTCTCTCTCTCTCTCTCTCTCTCTCTCTCTCTCTCTCTCTCTCTCTCTCTCTCTCTCTCTCTCTCTCTCTCTCTCTCTCTCTCTCTCTCTCTCTCTCTCTGTCTCTCTCTCTCTGTCTCTCTCTCTCTTTCTTTCATACTTCCCAAACAGCCACAATCACATATCCTATTCAGACATCTTTAGATATGCTGGAGCTATGCTTAGGATCATCCAATGCAGATTAGAGCCAGACATGGAAAGAGACAGATGTTCAAGCTGGCTTTTGAAAACAACATGAGACATTATTGCTCAAGCCTTTTGGATATTTGAGAAGGCTATAGAACACCCAAAAGAAGTCACTATGTGCCTCATTGATTATAATAGTCCTTTGATGGTGCCAAGATTGTTAAGCTGTGGAATGTGCTCAATAATGAGAATCCTAGAACATCTTATTGTTCTCATGGGTAACTTATATACAGATCAGGAACAAAGAGTGTGACATGGTTGTATACTCTCCCCTTATTTGTAAACCTAAATGCTGAATATATATTAAGGGAAACTGGATTGGAAGAAGAAGATGATAGTTTTAAAGCTGGAGGAAGAACCATCAATAATCTGTGCTATGCTGATGACACTACCCTGACAGCCAAAAATGCAAATCATGTGCAAGTTGTAGTAATAAAACTCAAGGAGCAGTGTGAAAAAATGGGACTAAAATTAAATATAAAGAAGGCTAAACTAATGGCACCAGGTAGAACAACCCACCTTAGAATTTACAACAAAGATATTGAAGTGATGGATAGTTTTGACCTTTTAGGAGCAACCAACCACAATAAAGGAATGGCAGTCAATAAATAGGCCACAAACTAGCAATCGACAGTCACAAAGACCTTGGAAAAGATTATCAGATTCTGTGATGTGTCTATATCTACAAAGTTCAGAATTGTGCAAGCCATGGTATTTTCTCTGACACTCTATGGAAGTGAAGGTTGGAGTTTAAAAGAAGTAAGATAGAAAGTGTACTGGCACTTTTGAATATTAGAATAAGAGAAGACTCCTGCAAACACCATGAACCACAAAGAAAACAAACAATGGGCGATCAAAAGACTAACCTGAAGTTCTTACTCAAGACACAGATGAACAGATTTAAATTGTCTTAGCTTTGGACACATTGTGCAAATATTTAACTCTCTGGAGAAAGCTCTATTGCTGGGAAAGGTAGAAGGAAGGGAATGACAGCAGCAAGAGTGATAGACAAATAGTGTTGATAAGAGTAGATTGTCATGGAGAAAATCTATTTATGTGGTCACGAAGAGTTGACAATGACTCGATGGCACATAATCAATAAAATTCAGGATTTCCATCTGTGTTGATGTTCAATACTCAATGTTAGAAAACTATTTAGCTTCATTACACGAAGCTTTAATATGATTGATTTAATTTAGGTTTAGTAGATTATGTTAATCCAGTCTTTGTGATTTATAACCTTTGATATTATGCCTGAACTAGGTCTCTTTGTTTGTTCAACAAATGATGATTAAACTATGCTTTAGTGGACAGTATAACAGAGTCTATAACTGAGGCTGAATTTGTACAACATACTTAACCATAATAGGGCTTGTCTAGTTTTGGATTAGTGTCCTATATGAATTCAGTCACCACAGTTTGTAAATCATTGTTTGCCTTAATATGTTCTGCAAAACTCACCTTGTGTGGTTTATGAAATATTGGCTTACTATATTTTAGCTTAAATCTGGTCTAGTCCGTTGTGTCTTAATAATGCATAACTGTCTACCTGGCTTATAGGATACTGTGTGTATCCAGATCAGTCTCTATTTCAACCCACCTTCTAACAATTTCAAAATCTATATACCGGTAACTTATACTGATAGTTCAATTTTGTTCTTTTTTTTAAAGAAGCAAAATACATTGAGTGAATCCTTAGTGTTAAGAATAGCTGCCAAACATACATAGGCAAGTCATCTTTGGATAGTGAGATCCACGAGAGGCATATAAATTTAATAAAAAAAATAAAATTAAAAATCTGTTGGGCCTTCAATAGTGATCTGGCAGTCAGGAACAAACACTGTGACGTCACTGAGCGAGTGGTCCTCAGTGGTTCCATTGAGGACCACTCAGCGAGTAGTCCTCAATGGAACTGCATCTATATGGAGGGAAATGTGTAGTGGGGTGCCCCAGGGCTCTGTTCTTGGCCCAGTGCTCTTCAACATCTTCATCCATGATTTGGACAAAGGGATAGATGGGGAACTCATCAAATTTGCAGACGACACCAAGCTGACAGGAATAGCCAACACTCCAGAAGACAGGCTTAAGATACAGAAGGATCTGGACAGACTTGAACACTGGGCACTAACTAAAAATGAAATTAAGCGGTGAAAAAAGCAAGGTTCTACATTTAGGCAAGAAAAACCAAATGCACAAGTACAGCATAGGTGGCACCATGCTCAATAGTAGTAACTGTGAGAGGGACCTTGGAGTCCTAGTAGACAATCACCTAAATATGAGCCAGCAGTGTGCTGCGGCTGCCAAAAAGGCCAACACAGTGCTAGGCTGCATTAACAGAGGGATAGAATCACGATCACGTGAAGTATTAATACCACTCTACAATGCCTTGGTAAGGCCACACTTGGAATACTGCATCCAGGTTTGGTCACCACAATGTAAAAAAGATGTTGAGACTCTAGAAAGAGTACAGAGAAGAGCAACAAAGATGATTAGGGGACTGGAGGCTAAAACATATAAGGAACGGTTGTTGGAATTGGGTATGTCTAGTTTAACGAAGAGAAGGACAAGGGGAGACATGATAGCAGTATTCCAATATCTCAGGGGCTGCCATAAAAAAGAGGGAATCAGGCTATTTTCCAAAGCACCTGAAGGCAGGACAAGAAGCAATGGGGGAAACTAATCAAGGAGAAAAGCAAGCTAGAACTAAGGAGAAACTTCCTGACAGTGGGAACAATTAATCAGTGGAACAGCCTGCCTCTAGAAGCAGTAAATGCTCCAACACTGGAAGTTTTTAAGAAGAGACTGGACAGCCATTTGTCCGAAATGGTGTAGGGTTTCCTGCCTGAGCAGGGGGTTGGACTAGATGACCTCCAAGGTCCCTTCCAACTTTACTACTATTATTATTATTACTGGTAGTTTTTCAGAGCAGGCAGGATAAAAATGGTTCCACCAATTGAATTTCAGTCTGCTGAGCAGCTCTGACAAAAGTACAGATGCCCTGTTGGTGTAGGAAATGACAAATGTGTTTTCAGGTGACAGTTATATTCTTCAGAGCATCATGAATTCCGTTTGCATTCATTTAAATGTGCCCCTTTCAAACTTTCCTGCCTTAGTCAGGAGGAAATCAGGTTTTCACTTCAAAGTGAAGCCTCTCAGTGACGTCACAGGTGCCGTCGGCTTTTTGAGGGCAAACAGCTCTGTTCTGCTCACAGGGTCACCCGCTGTTTTGCCGTAAGACAGAGAGTGTCTCTAACTGCATGTTGTTTTATTTATTGGTTTCGTGAAAAGAATACAAGATCTGAAGGAAGGCCTACATCGTCTACCCATTTTTTGAAATCAGGTAAGATTATCTGGAGATGAAACCAAAGGGTAGTGGCTGCTAAACTTCCATTCCATTTCTCATTCAAGATCAGACCCTGAATTCTGGGTCCTTGTCTGAATACATTGACAAGGGAGCATATAACGATCAAGGACCATTTTTCACTTACTCCAAGCCGTGGCTTATTCACGGCGTAGTAGTCTTTTTTCTTTTTTGTTTTGCATTGTTGGGAGAATGCCACAAGGCTTAAAAATTGGGGGGGGGGGAGGAGGTATGCATATTCTTAAATTCATCTCATTTTAGGTGTTAATTTTTCCTAGGTATCAAATGTCATAGTTTATTCAACAATTTGTCAAGGGATGAGGAAGAATTTGATTTCCAACTATTGGGCTATTGACTATTTGGCTGTCAGCAAAGTAGTCAACTTATATAGGTCTTAAACTTAACCCTGAACAGATAGACAACAAACTTATTTTTACTTCTGCTACAAATAGTTTGGGGTTAAATACAGTTAATTATTTCATATATCTTTTCCCCAAAGAGTTTTATTTTGGAGCATTCCCACCAAAGATATAAATAAGTTCCTTTTTGTCCATCGCTTTTCAAAACATGGGAAGCATGTGATTTTTAAAACTCTTCTAAGCCAGAGTGCAGTGCCATTTATAAGTGAGGAATCCTCCTTAACAGATATAGGAATAGCTCAGAAAAAGTTTTTTTCCCCGTTCTACTATTTCCAGAATTGGCTGATCTATAGTTTATGCCTCCCAAATTTCTTTCCAGATTTGTTTTACATGCTATTTAAAGTGTAAATTTTAGAAACTGCTCTATTCAAATTATCTAATTTTTTAAATATGTTTTTTTTAATTTTTCCTAAAGATTGAATTTTCAGGTAGCTATTTTCACCTTCCTTAGGAAAAGCAACACCTTTTCTTCCTTATATTTCTATGATCTTTATCTATTTCATGAATATGTTAGAGTTCAATCATCCTTAGCTGCACCCCAGCGATAAAGCTGTCTTTTCTCATTTCTTCACTGTCTAAGGATGTTCTCAGGTTGAATAGGTTTTGTTAGGTTTGATTACCTGTTAGCTTGGAGGGAAGTTGGGGATAGAATGACTTGGAAAATAAACCATAAAGTCAAGAAACAGATTGGCAACAGGGGCAGCACATTTTATGTCTGTCTGGATTTCTGCTGGTTCAAGGAGGAGCAGCAAGAAACGTAATTTAATAGTTGAGAAAGTCCCTACAATGAATCATTGGCCTGATCCAACATAGCAATTATTCTTTTGTGGAGAACTATGAAAGGGCCCTACCTAGTTCAGAATTCAGGAAATTGCTAATAACAAGTTGGATTCTTGATTAGGCATATAGTATTGTCTGTGTACATAGTAACTTTCTATAGTTTCAAACCGAGAGCTTATGCTCTGCTTTTGAACCATAGCAGCTCTCAAGTTAGTGTCAACTTCTGAAACCAACCTGGCTGATGCCATCTTTGTCATTCTCAGTTGCCACAAAGATTGGGAGGAAGGGAAGGGGGAAGAAACCGAAAGGATTGCTGGACTAAACACAGAGTGATCCCGTGGGAACCAAGGTCATTCCCACAGGTGCTGGAAGGTGGAGAGAAAAAGTGTCACGGAGCCCATCAATTGCCCTTATTGGATAGTGTGATCAATAGCATAGTAGGGGGAGGGAAATGTTTACTGAAATTTAGTTACATTGAATTCCTGGGGGGGAAGTTTAGAGTTGGTTTCACTTTTATGTACCTAATAAACATGTTCTTTAAGGAAACTTAGAATAGAATAGAATAGAATAGAATAGAATAGAATAGAATAGAATAGAATAGAATAGAATAGAATAGAGCTGGAAGGGACCTTGGAGGTCTTCTAGTCCAACCCCCTGGTCAAGCAGGAGGACCTGATGATTGTCCAGTCTCTTTTTAAAAACTTCCAGCAATGAGCGCCCACAATTTCTGGAGGCAAGCTGTTCCATTGGTTGATTGTCCTCATTGTCAGGAAGTTTCTCCTTAATTCCAGGTTGCTTCTCTCTTTGATCAGCTTCCAACCATTGTTTCTTGTCTTGCCCTCTGGTGCTTTGGTAAACAACCTGGCCCCCTCTTCTTTGTGGCAGCCCCTCAAATACTGGAATACTGCTATCAGGTCTCCCCTATTTCTTCTTTTCTTTAGACTAGCCCAGAGGTAGGCAACCTTGGCTCTTTTATTACTCGTGGACTTCAACTCCCAGAATTCCTGAGCCAGCATGGCTCAGCTTGGAAACCTCTCCCTTTCCCCTCAGCATGGCTGGCTCAGGAATTCTGGGAGTTGAAGTCCACGAGTCATAAAAGAGCTAAGGTTGCCTACCCCTGCACTAGCAAATTCTGCAGCCATTCTTCATACGTTTTTGTCTCCAGGCCTTGGAGTTCTGATTTATTTGGGTCCATTAGTTGGAACCATGACATTTAGATTCTTTGCAACAGGGCAAATTCACAATTGAAGGGAGCTGATGGAAACAGGGGAGACCATACCACTTTCCAGATTTTTTTCTAGCTTTATTTATTTAAAGATCAGTTAAGAAACTATAGCCAAAGCTATGATTTTCCCAGTAGTAATGTATGGCTGCGCGAGGTGGAAGGCTGAGTGTCGAAGAATGGATGTTTTTGAATTGTGATGTTGAAGAAGACTCTTGAGAGTCCCTGGGACTGCAAGGAGATCAGTCAATCCTAAAAGAAATCAACACTGGCTGTTCTTTGGAAGGACAGATCATTGAAGCTGAAGCTCAAATACTTTGGCCACCAAATGAGAAGAGAGGACTCATTGGAAAATGATGTGGGAAAGATGGGAGGCAAAAGGCAAAGGGGACGTCAGGTTGTTAGATGGTGTCATTGACACAGTGGGCATGGATTTGGGTGAACTCCGGGAGACAGTGAAGGATGGGGGGTGGGCTGGCATGCTGCAGTGCAGGGGGCGCAAAAAGTCAGGCATGACTTAGTAACTGAACAACAACAAACAACATTTAAGAAGCAATTTCAAGCAACTTTTTCAGAACAGTCAAATAATTCACGTTCCTAGTTTCAAGGCTTTACTAATGGTTTGACATCTCAAATTTCCTTTCCTGACTAATAATTTCCAAAAGTACCAAGGAGACTTTTTGTTTTTGAACGCCAACATATATGCCAGCATATAAATGTATATAAGTTAGCCCTGCAAAGTAGTCCAGACCGGAAGTACGATGGTGATTACTAACTTTATTTTTATTGTAAGGTTGCATTAACAGAATCTTGCAAGTCTGAAAATACCCCTCCTGTCCTTGCATTTACTCTCCTGAAAATGAGGGAGGGTCCCTTTTGAGATGCTTTCCCCACCCTTTATGCTTCGGGCTCAGATTTCATTTCCCAGAACATTCTCTACATTGCAGCTCTTCCGCCTATCTCCCAAAGTCATTCTCATATACCACTACAATATCTTGTGATCCAAGCATAGCATGGATATGTAATAGCTTGTATGTGCCCCATCTCTCTCTCTCTCTCTCTCTCTCTCTCTCTCTCTCTCTCTCTCTCTCTCTCTCTCTCTCTGTGTGTGTGTGTGTGTGTAACCCCTTCCCCTTCTCTTACTATCACCTGTCTGTCTGTCTGCCTGCCTATTATCTGTCTGTCTGTCTGTCTATCCATCCATCCATACATCCATACATCCTACTCCCCACACCTATCTATCTATCTATCTATCTATCTATCTATCTATCTATCTATCTATCTATCTATCTATCTATCTATCTATCTATCATATTTAGGAACCACCCATCTTTCTCACAGAGAGATTCTGGCAGGATACAAATAAAATATTAAAAACATAAAACAGTATATAGAATTTAAAATTAAAAGAGACAAGCACAAATTAATTAAAAGAGGAGGGGAGGGCTTTTAGGTAGCTCGCCAGCTCCATGGCTGCATGCTCCTCTCTATGCCCCAGGCAAGGCTGCAGAGCCCTGTTTTCACACTTTTTCAGAAGGCCAGGAGAGTGGGGACCTGCCTCACCTCTAGAGGATGGGGGCCATGGCAGAGAAGGCTCTCTTCCTGGATCTCACCAGTCAGAATTCTTTGGCTGACGGGGTCTGCAGCATACCTTCCCTGCCTAACTGGATAAAACAGACTGATGTAATGGGATGAAAACAGTTTTGTAGATAACCTGGCTTCTGCCATGTAGGGCTTTAAAGGTCATAACCAATACCTTTAATTGGAGAAGAAGACTGGCACCCAATGCAACTCATGCAGCAGAAGTGCTTCATGTGCCATTCTTCGGATGCCCAAGACTGTTTGCATGGCTGCATTTTGTACTAGCTGAAGCTTCTGGATACTTTTCAAGGATAGCTCCACGTCAAGCGGAGATGGGAGGTGACTGGGCATGACTGACTGAGTGGAGAACCTCCCTATCCAGGAAAAGGCATAACGGAGGAAAAACATAAATATTACAACTATTTCTGGTAATAAAATTAGGTTATGTGATGATTTGCTTAATGAATGTATAATTTAGCAACTGAAATTCTGGTCTCAATTATGGTCATAAGCTGAGGACTACCTGTATGTCCAAGAAGGAAGGAAGGGAGGGAGGGAGGGAGGGAGGAAGGAAGGAAGGAAGGAAGGAAGGAAGGAAGGAAGGAAGGAAGGAAGGAAGTCGTACAAAAGTAGTTACCAGGGTATGTCTGAGCAATGGGATGTGGGATTTGAAGATGAAACCAGATAGATGTTTGCTGAAGAGTTTTAATTTGAGAAGATGAATGAATTATTGAAGAGAAGGACAAAGGGTGACATGATAGCAGTGTTCCCATATCTCAGGGGCTGCCACAAAGAAGGGGGGGAGGTTCAACATATTCACCAAAGCACCAGAAGGCAGGTCAAGAAACAATTGATGGAAACTAATCAAAGAGAGAAGCAACCTAGAACTATGGAGAAACTTCCTGACTGTGAGAACAATTAACCAGTGGAACAACCTGCCTCCAGAAGCTGTGAATGCTCCAACACTGGAAGTTTTCAAGAAGAGACTGGACAGCCATTTGTCTGAAATGCTATAGGGTTTCCTGCCTAAGCAGGGGGTTGGACTAGAAGACCTCCAAGGTCCCTTCCAACTTGATGATGATGATAAGCATTCCCAGTGCTTTCAACTATTCCTCCATAACTGTTGTTGTTCAACTACAGCTTTATTACAACTGACAACATTGCTTCTTTAAGCCATCATAAATAGAATATATTGGATAGAGTTTCTGGGAAATAATGGAGTCGGTAGAATGTAAGTAAAATATAAGCAAGTAAATTGAGGAAGATCCTGTTTGTGGCTGGGGAAACAAAATTGTTTGCCCAGTACAGTAAGTTGCAAAACAATCTGAGAGGTGCACAAAACTTTTTCTTCTCTGTGTTAACTGAATAGAATCTGCAGTGTCTATTGGCATTTAGAATTAAATAGGAGGGAATTTTTGGCTTCAATCATTTATGAAGTTCCAAAGAGAATTATGGGTTGCCCACTGCTGGAAAAAAAGAAACTTAGGGTTGCACGGATATTTGTGCCAACACAGCAGAAATTTATTTATGTATGGGGCTTTTATTCAAGATGGCTGCATCTGCTATTTCACACAGATTTAAATAGATGGAAGATATCTATCCAGCAGTTGCAACATAGGACCTTCATGTACAGAGCAGTCTAAATATAAGAGACTGGGCGTAAATGAGGGAAGATACTATTGTTGTTCTGGTTCTGTGCTTTGCCTGCTGTTACACCTGGGATGTTTTAATCTCATTTAATAAGATGACCTTTTTACATTTTACCATCTAGATCAATATAAATTGTCACTGAGATTTCAAAGTATCTTTACATCTTTGCTTTTGCCTGAGGATTCCTTCACCCCAACAAATAACCTTTTTCAATATATTTTTGGTAAATAAAATGTGTGAAATATTTTTCTTCAGGGGGCAAAATCCAGACAGCCACCAAGACGCTATCTACTGCTCTATTTACTTGCAATCATCACTGGGCTGGTTTCCTGCCACAATTTCCTGCTCACAAATGTCAAAAATGGCTGTTTCGACTTTGAAAAGAAGAGAAAAAAATTACTCTGGGTTGTAGGATCAGATGGTAATGAAGGGAGAATGTGCAGGTCCCAACAAATGGGCTTTGCTTAAACCAGTTTCTTTAAAGTCTTTTGGTGGTTTAGGAGCTTGAGTCTGTCCACCATTTTCTCACTGAACAGTAATACTTCTTCTTCTTCTTCTTCTTCTTCTTCTTCTTCTTCTTCTTCTTCTTCTTCTTCTTCTTCTTCTTCTTCTTCTTCTTCTTCTTCTTCTTCTTCTTCTTCTTCTTCTTCTTCTTCTTCTTCTCCTCCTCCTCCTCCTCCTCCTCCTCCTCCTCCTCCTCCTCCTCCTCCCCCCACCCTCTTCCTCCTCAGAAATAACTCTAATCTTACATTTTTTTACTCCACCCCCCCAAAATTTTTTACCCTCAAAATTGCCATGTGCATCTGTTAGTCAGCCTTCAAAAGTTTGCAGGGACAGATGCTCTCTGACGTACGATATTTTTCAAATAATGAGTAAAGAATGGAAGAATGATAGATAAGGGCAGACTTATTTTACTACTGCTCTCTTTCTGCAAGCAAATCTGTTTCTGAAGGTCCTGGGGCTTATGGAGCAAAGGAACTGGATGAGGCTGTCGGCAGGCCTAGAGGAAGAGAGAGAAGCTTTTGGAAGAGTTGGAGGCAGTGGTAGCGTGCTCTAGGGGCGAAAAGGAGCGAGGCCCTTTAAGGAAAAGGTGGAAAAGACAGGATCAGAAAAAGGAAAGGAGGCGAGGTTGTCGTGCAGGACTACAAGCTAATTTGAGGGCTAATCCACATGGAGCTCCCTTTCCATCTGTCCTGTTTGCCATCGTTCACTCCCTGGAGACTAAAATGGACGTTCTGAAACTTGAACTGGCCACGAACAAGGAGTGTATATCCGAGGTGGTGACCCTTTGAGAGCTGTATGCAACGAAATTTCATTTTGATGTATGCCGATTGGTGTACATTCAAAGCGACAATAAAGTTATTGTTGTTGTTATTATTACCATTATTATTAAAAGACCATCATTTTTGTCCAAAGGAAGCTAAGGAGATGTGCCTTGGCAGGTATATGTTTTTCTTTTTGCTAATCATGGTGTTTACTTTTTCCTTTTAGACATTTGTTAACTGCAACACATTGTGGTGGGACCAGCCACATTCCCCAGATGCCCAATCCAGCTGCCCATCTGCCTTTTTACTATGGCAGCATCTCCAGATCCGATGCAGAGGACCACCTCAAACTGGCAGGGATGTCTGATGGGCTATTTTTGCTGCGACAGTGCCTTCGCAATCTTGGCGGATATGTCCTCTCTGTGGTGTACAAACTCCAGTTCTACCATTATCCCATTGAGCGTCAGATGAATGGGACCTTTGCTATCTCTGGAGGGAAAGCCCACTGTGGCCCTGAAGAGCTCTGTGAATTTTATTCCAAGGATGCAGATGGACTTTGCTGTACTTTGCGGAAGCCTTGCAACCGTCCTAATAGCCTGGAACCCCAGCCAGGTATTTTTGACAACATCCGGGAGAATATGGTCCGCGAATACGTCCGGCAAACATGGAACTTAGAGGTTTGAGCATAATTTTTATTTTATTTTCATTAGAGAATTTTTTCTTTTTATATGTTGCACAATTTCCCTCATTAGATGGTTTACAAAATCCAGTGCCTAATGACAAAGGCAAATTCCCAATAATGTCATAATTTATGTACAGTATGCACACATATACACACCCTCTTCCTCACCCCAAAGAGAGAGAGAGAGAAAAAGAGAGATACACAGACACAAACACCACGCATATACATATATATCCACTTAGGGGCTATGCATGTTTTGAAAAAGATTTTGAAAAACTGCTTTGAAGATCATACAAGCTTTGCTACCTATTAAAGCCACTGTGTCTTTTTTCAGGTTTCTGAATTTGAAAAAAACACATGGCTGTGTAATGAATAGCAACTGTGTTTGAGTATGAGGATCTGTTAATCAAAATAGTGAAATAACTGTTGTAAGCCATTTCGGATAGCCAAATCTAAAAGATTTAGGATGCTTACTTCCAATGAATCCTTTCAGAGGGGCAGCATTTGCCAAAGCCCAGCTGCAATGGTACAGGTAGTCCTTGACTTACAGCCATTCAACATTATGACAGCGCTAAAAAAAGTGACTTACGACAGTCCTTACGACTGTCACAGAGTCCCCATGGTAACGTGATTGCAATCCAAGTACTTGGCAACTAGTATGTATTTATAACAGTTGCAGTGTCCCAGGGTCATGTGATCACCATTTGTGAACTTCCCAGCCAGCTTCTGACAAGCGAAGTCAATGGGAGAAGTTGGGTTTACTTAATGATCAGGAGGTTTACTTAACAACTGTGATGATTTGCTTAACAACTGTGGTAAAAATGTTGTAAAATCAGATGCAATTCACTTAAGAACTGTCTTGATTAGCAATGGAAATTCTGGAATTCTCCCAGAATTCCTGAGCCAGCATGGCTCAGCATGGAAACCTCTCCATTTCTCCTCAGCATGGCTGGCTCAGGAATTCTGGGAGTTGAAGTCCATGAATCATAAAAGAGCCAAGGTTGCCTACCCCTGGTCTAAATTAACTGTCTAAATTACCCGTTCTTCCCAGCAATCTGAATAAAAAAGCTAGAGGTGGGGGATGGAGGGTGGGGCACAGTGTAGAAGAATATTTCAGTACAAAACTAATTTACCCCCAACCCTAAACCTGGCAATTTAATTTCTACAGTTTAATTCAGTGCAAAAGGATATTCTGGTATTATACATTCCTCCTAATATATATATATATATATATGTTTTCTGAGGTTTTCGCGGGTATTTGTATGTAAGTCTTTGGTTGTTCGGGTTTTCTCCCGCGTAAAATTGGAAGTGTCTTGGCGACGTTTCGACGAAGTCCCATTCGTCATCTTCAGGCTGGTGTTTTCAGCTTCGTGCTTCGAGCAGCAATGTGTGGTCTTAGCTGTTTCTTCCTTTTAACTGCCAGTGGGGTATGAACTGATTGGGTGGGAGCTTGGCTGTGTTCTGATTGGGTGGAGGTGTGTTCTGAATGGTTAGGGGCTTGGCTGTGCTCTGATTGGCTGGGGGAGTGTTCAGGTTAGAGGGGTTTGAGATTTTGGGCTGCCTTGCTATTTTTTGGCTTGGTACCAGAACCATTGCCAAAAGTGAACATTTTAATAACAGAATAATCAGAGAAGCCATCGAGATAGAAAAACGCCCACACAGCATGAACAAGCGAGATGATACCTCCCGCCTACCAGCCATTTGGAAACCCGCCCTTATTGACAAACGACTCCCTAACACAAAAAATGATACCAGACCCACACTCACAAAAACCACACAGGATGTCACCACCACACATCCACGCAAAAAACAAACCCAAAGCCACACCGATGACGAGGCACGACCACAAACCAGAAGCCAGACCACAGCTGCATCATTAGCCACTTTAAACCCCTCCAATCCATACATGAAGCAAACTGACACCCTCCATGAAGAGGAAGCACGACCACGAACGCGAAGCCAAAAAATAGCAAGGCAGCCCAAAATCTTAAACCCCTCTGCAACTCAGACTAACCTGAGCACAACCAAACAGAACACTCCCCCAGCCAATCAGAGCACAGCCAAGCCCCTAACCATTCAGAACACACCTCCACCCAATCAGAACACAGCCAAGCTCCCACCCAATCAGTTCATACCCCCACTGGCAGTTAAAAGGAAGAAACAGCTAAGACCACACATTGCTGTTCAAAGCACGAAGCTGAAAATACCAGCCTGAAGATGACGAATGGGACTTCGTCGAAACGTCGCCAAGACACTTCCAATTTTACGCGGGAGAAACCCCGAACAACCAAAAACCTACATATATATATATATACATATGTATGTATGTATGTATTTGGTTGTTCGGGGTTTCTCCCGCGTCAAATTGGAAGTGTCTTGGCGACGTTTCGACGAAGTCCCATTCGTCATCTTCAGGCTGGTGTTTTCAGCTTCGTGCTTCGCCAAGACACTTCCAATTTGATGCGGGAGAAAACCCGAACAACCAAAGACCTACATATATACCGTATATGCTGGCGTACAAGGCGACCTGGAGTATAAGACGACCCTCGTCTTTGTCGCCGAGCCGCATTCCTAGAACGTCGTCTTATACGCCAGAAACTACCAGTATTTCCGGCGTATAAGACGACTCGGCGTATAAGACGACCCCCGTCTTTGGCGCTGATTTTAGCACTTCCGGAAGTCGCCTTATACGCCGGCATATACAGTATATATAAATTCAGTGTTTTGGGATGGTTTGAGTCTTCATTTCATGAATTAAAAATTTCCTTCCCCCTCTTCTTTTTTTTTATAGGGAGAGAATCTTGAAGTAGCAATAATAAGTCAAGCCCCACAAGTGGAGAAACTCCTGGCCACCACGGCTCACGAGAAAATGCCTTGGTATCATGGCCCCATCTCCCGAGAGCAAGCGGAAAGCCGGCTCTACTCAGGAGCACAGCCTGATGGGAAATTCCTGTAAGCATTTAAGGATGCAGGAAAAACTTCCCCTTTATTTATGGAGAAATATTTTTCTCCCCACTATCTGCAGTTCCATATTCAGGACACACATTTACACAATTTTACATTCTGGCTAAGCAGAATAAGTAGTCCTTGATTTACAACCATTCTATTTATTGACCATTCAAAGTTACAACGGTGCTGAAAAACTGTCACAGAGTCCCCATAGTCACATGATCAAAATTTGGGTGGCATATATTTACAACAGTTCCAGCATCCCGGCATCATGTGATCAGCCTTTGTAACCTTCCCAGCCAGTTTCTGACAAGCTAAATCAATGCAGGAAGCTGGATTCGTTCAACAACCACATGATTCGTTTAACAACCATAGTGATTTGTTTAACAACCATGATAAAAATTCCCGGGGTCATGTGATTGTTTTTTGCCACCTTCTGACAAGCAAAGTCAATGGGGAAGCCAGATTCACTTAACAACTGTGTTACTAACGTAAAAGTTGCAGTGATTCACTTAACAACTGTGGCCAGTAAGGTTTGCAAAATGGGCAAAATTGACTTAACAAGCGTCTTGCTTAACAACAGAAATTTTGGGCTCAGTTGTGATCATAAATTGAGGACTACCTGTATCAAACCACATGTAAAGTAATATATGAAATCTCAGGACAATAGAGCTCAGCCAAAGCTTGCATTCATGATTAGACCAAATTCCACTGTGAATAATGTTGTCATTACACAGATGATATAAACCGCAGCCAAAGGCTTAAATCAGTCATATTTACATATTGTGGGTTGGATGTTAATGAATAATAGATACCCAATTAACTCTGATTCAGAGAGTGCTGCTTTGAATAGGCCATTCTATTCTGTTCCATCAGGGATTAGACCCATCAGGGATTTATTTTGCCTTTGTTATAAATGATTGGTTTTATGTTTAATGTACACAAAACACAAACAGTGTTTAACGAATAAACATTCATTAAAATTGGTGTAACTGCAAACATTAAAATACTTTGGTTTGCAAGATATATTTGAATCAGTTGAAAGATGCCAAAATAATCCCTTAAAATTAGATTTTACTTCGTAGTAGTTTCTTAGCAATTAAAATCATTCAAATGTAAGATTTCAGTTGTGTAAAAGAAACTGAACTTTCTACTACAGAAAACCACGTTATTCCAGGATTCTGTAACATACTATCAGGCAATATCCAAGCCAGCTTTATCATTAGCTTTTTCAAAAAATCAGTTACCAAGATTTGTAGTGAAAGTATGCATCTTTCTTTTATATATAAACTTGCTGTTTATACTATATTTATTTACATCTCCAGGGAGCTAGTTTTCTAAAAATGGTCATGGCTTTCTAAAATCTGCTTTGGCAGCAATTTCTCAATAGTTTTTTTTAATGATTCCAATAAATCTCATTCTGTCAACAGTCCTGAGAGCATCCAGTTCCAAGGCATTTTGAGAAAGTCAAAAGACAGGCCTGGAGGCATTTTATGGGAAATTAAAATTGAACTGAGAAATCACCATATCTAAAGTGGGCTTGTATATCTCTCTTGCTGGAGAATCTTCCAGTGCCTCTTAAGGAAGGGAGCAAAATTGATTAAGTTTGCATTTAAATGCAAATGTATCTAGCCTTATATTTTCAAAGTGATATAAACCAAAATATTCCTTTTTTGCCCTCCGTTATGTTAAAATCTTATCTTCTGCAGTCTAACATTAAAATTTTATGTCTGAAATGTTTTTGCCTGCCACAGACATAATTAATTGGTACAATACTGTAACCTTGTTATGTATGGATATATAATGTGTGGTCCTTGCAGTGCAACAGACATTTCATTACTAAACTAGGGAACATCCTCAGTGCTGTTGATGTTGATGATGCTACCTAGTTTGACACTAGAATAATTGAAAAAAAAAATGAAGGACAGGAACATCTACTTACAAGAGTTCATTTGGTGACATTCAAAATTACAACGGCATTGAAAAAAGTGACTTATGACTGTTTTTCACACTTACGACCACTGTAGCATCCTCAATGGTCACGTGATCAGAATTCAGGCGCTTGGCGACTGACTCATATTTATGACTTAATAACTTAATACTTAATAGCTGCAGTGATTCACTTAATAAGTATGATAAGAAAGGTCATAAGATGGGGCAAAATTCACTTAATAAGTGTCTTGGTTAGAAATTTTGGTCTCAGTTGTGGTTGTAAGTCGGGGACTACTTGTATAAGAGGTAAATCTACAAAAATCTGTGTAATGTTTGAAGAAAGCAGCACAAGAACATACAATTTTACAGAATAATAGAATAAGAGTTGGAAGGCATCTTGGAGGTCTTCTAGTCCAACCCCCTGCTCAGGCAGGAAACCATATACCACGTCAGACAAATGGTTTTCCAATCTCTTCTTAAAAACCTCCAGTATTGGAGCATTCACAGCTTCTGAAGGCAAGCCATTCCACTGGTTAGTTGTTCTAACTGTCAGGAAATTTCTCCTTAGTTCTAAGTTGCTTCTCTCTTTGATTAATTTCCCTCCGTTGCTTCTTGTCCTGCTTTCAGGTGCTTTGGAGAATAGCTTGACTCCCTCTTTTTTGTGGCAACCCCTGAAATACTGGAATATTGCTAACATGTCACCCCTAGTCTTTCTTTTCATTAAACTAGACATACCCAATTCCAGCAACCGTTCCTTATATGTTTTAGCCTCCAGTCCCCTAATTATCTTTGTTGCCCTTCTCTGGATTCTTTCTAGAGTCTCAATATCTTTTTTTTACATCATGGTGTACAAAACTGGATGCAGTGTGACCTTACCAAGGCATTATAAAGTGGTATTAACACTTCACGTGATCTTGATTCTATCCCTCTGTTAATACAGCTTAGGAAAATTTAATCTAAACTTTTTTTTAGAAAAAGTTCTGAAGCTCGTTCTATTGATATATTCGCAAAAGAGAGAGACCCAGATAAAAATTAATATGACAGATTTGCACATAAGAGAAAGCTGACAGAATTACCAATCTTATTTTAAGTTGCTACATCAGAGTCATACAGATCGTTTGTGGAAATGTAGCTGTTTCTACTCTTCCTCTCCCTTTCCCTTCAGGATGAGGCAAAGGAAAGAACAAGGAAGCTATGCCCTCTCCCTTGTATACGGAAAGACTGTTTATCACTATCGAATAGGACAAGGAAAATCAGGGAAATACTCAGTGGAAGAAGGAACCAAATTTGATACGCTGTGGCAGGTGAGACTGCAGTGAAGATTGAGTGGTTTGCTTGTCTGTTGGCTTATTTATTTCCCCATCTTTATTATATTTACAAATAACTCAAGGCGGTGAACATATCCAGCATACCTCCCTCCTCCTATTTTCCCCATAACAACAGCCCTGTGAGGTGGGTTGGGCTGAGAGAGAGTGACTGGTTCAAAGTCACCCGACTGGCTTTCATGGTTAAGACAGAACTTGAATTCACAGTCTCCTGCTTTCTAGCCTGGTGCCTTATTGGCTCTCTGGTTGGTAAGTGAGATGAAGCTAAGGTCTGTCTCTTTGTACTGGAGTGAGTGGGTATGCTGTGTGTTGGTCATACTATAGTTACAGGTGGTTCTCGACTTACAACCATTTGTCTGGTGACCGTTTGAAGTTACAACAGCACTGAAAAAAGTGACTTATGACTGTTTTTCACACTTACGACCATTGCAGCATTCCCATGGTCACATGATCAAAATTAGGACATTTGGCAACTGGTTCATATTTCTCACTGTCACAATGTCCCAGGGTCACCTGATCACCTTTTTGTGACCTTCTGATAAGCAAAGTCAATGGGAAAGTTATTCGCTTAACAACCATGTTACTAATGTAAGAACTGCAGTGATGCACAACAAAAGTCGGAAAATAGGACAAAACTCATTTAACAACTGCTTGATTAGCAACAGAAATTTTGGGTTCAGTTGGGGTCATAAGGCGAGGACCACCCGTATTGGCCAAATGGAACCCAGGAAGGGCAGCTTTGCTCCAATAAGTTACTGTAAAATGTATTTCTGACTTTTCCACATAACCTTTTGAGATGTTTAATTTTCCTCTCCAGTTTCTCAGAGGGATACCAGCAAATAGGGACGCCAAAAAGGCAATTACCTTGCTTGTTCATTAGTTTTCCCGCCTCTTTCTCTCTCCTCTTGATGTTCTTCTCCTTCAAAATTCTTTCACCAGCTGGTCGAGTACCTCAAACTCAAACCGGATGGCCTTATCTATTATCTGAAAGAAAGCACCCCGAATCCTGAAATGCAATCAGGTAAGATTTTAACTTCTCTCCTACCTCTGAGAAAAGGATTGGCAAGTCTGGTTATTTCCTTCCCTGTGTATATGTTTTAGTTATCATGAAATCCATATTCCTTAGAGATTGTATTACAGTTTTTAAAAAAAGATCTGCAGAAAAGGATGGTCTCAAAGAGTTTTTCAAAGCTAACATCCTCCAGATGTTATAGGTTTCAGCTCTCCAAATTGCCTCCCCTCACATAGTACCAGGGGAAAAGTCATATTGGCTAAGGGAATCTGGAAACTGACTGTCCACACATCTGGAGGATTCCACTATACTGATGGATTTGGCATAAATTAAGGGGTTTGGGATTTATTTGGGCATTAAGCTGGTCAACTAGATCATAAGAATTGGCTGGCATTAACTGAGTAGGACATTGGTCCAGAATGGCAGTAGATCAGGAGATACCCTGCTCTAAATCTCACTATGGCAGTCTTCAAAATCAAAGTGTCATGGCTGACTCGCTATGCACTCCGCTCGCAACCAGACAACAGAAACAGGGAGGGGGGTGGGAAGGTTTGGAATGTAAGGGAGGCTTGGGAAGGGATTGTGGAATACTACAGAGCTGATAATCACCTGGCAACATTCTGGTGTCCGAGGTCAAATGATGGGGAAGTTCCAAGACTCTCAGACTGTTTCCCAAAACAAATTGACTGTAATTGATTGGTGGACAATGAAAAGTGGGTGGCCCAGGGGAGAAAAGGGGATTTTACCTATGCTGCTTTGCACACGAAAACTTCAGAACTGGCTTTGCTTCTTGGGTGCCTACGTGGAATTATCCGTAAAGTGATACTCTTGGTAAAATAATGTCCCAGGAGTTTCTTTTGCTGCATATGCATATTACTATTCCCATACGTCAGGGTGTTCAATTTTATAGATGTTATGTAAATGAAAGTAGGCCGTTAATACAGGTTGTTCTTGGCTTACAGTCATTTGTTTAGTGACCGTTTGAAATTAGAATGGCACTGGAAAAAAATGACTTATGACCGTTTTTCACACTTATGACCATTGCAGCATCCCCAATTCAGGTGCTTGGCAACTAGCATGTATATACTATATGATGGCTGCAGCGTTTCAGGATCATGTGATTGGCAACTAGCATGTATATACTATATGATGGCTGCAGCGTTTCAGGATCATGTGATCACCTTTTGGGAACGTCTAACAAGCGAAGTCAATGGGGAAGCAAATTCACTTAACAACCGTGTTACTAACTTAACAACTGCAGTGATTGACTTAATAACTGTGGGAAGCAAGGTCATAAAATGGAGCAAAACTCCCTTAACCATTGTCTTGCTTAGCAATGGAAATTTTGGGCTCAGTTGTGGTTGAGGGCTACTTGTATACCTTCTCGGTCAGCCCATATTGTGTCTCTGCTCTGCAAACTGCACTGGTTGCCAATATCTTTCCAATTCAGCTCAACGGGATGGTTATAGCTCTTCGTGGCATGAGGCCTAGGTTATTTCTGGGACTGCCTCTCTGAATTCTATCTACCCATCCCATCTGGTCCACCAGAAGAGGCATGCTCTGGGTTCCCTCTGTTAGAGAGTGTCATCTAGCAGGACCCAGGAAAGGAGCCTTTTTTGTGATGATGCCCACCCTTGGAGTTCCATTCACCATACCCTGAGATTACATTGGCTCCGACCCTGTCAACCTTTCACAAGGCCTTAAACATAGGGATCTATCATCAGGCCTGGGGTATCAGGAGGTGTGATGTACGCCATACAACAATTATCACTGATAAGTTTGTTTTCATCCCGGTTATAGTTTATATGAGTTGTCATTTTCTGTTTTTTTAAATGTTTTATATTGTAGTTGCTCAGAGTCATGAACCTCTGATGGGAAGCCATGCCAAATGAAAGAATGAATTAATAAATGTGCTACTGATCACTAGGAGGCACTAAATGATCAGTTTGGCTCTTGCTGGAACTCATTAGGTATAAGCAACCCTTATATTCTGATCTATAGCACCCATGGCACACAGCCTAGTAAACACTGAGGGAGACCTTGCGAATTAGTTGCTGACCGTGTTTTCTCCGCAGATGTGATATCTTTCCTATAACCTTGTCCAGGGCATACAGGTAATCCTCAACCTACAATCACAATCAAACCCAAAATTTCTGATGCTAAGTGAGACAGTTGTTAAGTGAATTGCCCCATTTTACAAACTTTCTTGCTGCAGTTAGAAACTAACCAAGGAGAGAAGCAACATAGAACTAAGGAGGAATTTCCTAACAGTTAGAACAATTAACCAATGGAACAACCTGCCTCCACAAGCGGTGAATGCTCCAACACTGGAAGTTTTTAAGAAGAGACTGGGTAGTCATTTGTCCAAAATGGTATAGGGATTCCTGCCTGAGCAGGGGGTTGGACTAGATGACCTCCAAGATCCCTTCCAACTTTATTATTATTATTATTACTTGTTAAGTGAATCACCAGAGTTGTTAAGTTAATAACATGGTTGTTAAGTGACTCTGGCTTCCACCTTGATTTTGCTTGTCAGAAGGTCGCAAAAGGGGATCACAGTTGCCAAGCTTCCAAATTCTGATCCCGTGATTATGGGGATGCTGCAACGGTTATAGGTGTGAAAAACAGTCACTGTTTTTCAGTGCCATAGTAATTTCACACTGTCACTAAATGAATTGCTGTAAGTCGAGGTCTGCCTGTATACACAAATAAATTTCTCTATTGTTCCTTTCCTCCCTTCTTTCCAGCGCCAGCCACTCCAGTGCCACCAGCGCATCCATCTACATTGGTAAGTCTGGGTTTATTTGCTCAGTGAATGCCTTTATGTATCGCTTCTCATTCATGTTGCTCACAAAAGCATTTGCAGCTATCATAAAACAACCTAAAAATAATCTTCTCCAAAGACAGAAATCAAGAGAAGTAAGCACAGGGGAAGAACGAGCTAATAAGATGAAAGATGAAAGAATTATCACTATGGCAGAGAAGCCTTATTCCTTCACAAAATGACCCAGGGACAAGGCAGGCAGGCAGGCAGGCAGGCAGGCAGGCAGGGATAGAGACAGAGACAGAGATATATTTTTGAGCAGGGGATCACATATAGCAGTGGTGGCGATCCTCTCTGTGGGCACATGTGCCGTTGCCCCAGCCTTGCCTCCTCCCACGACCCCCTCCTCACCAGCAGCCCCCCTGGAGGAGTCGCCCCTGAGCCTGGCCCACCCGGAGCAGCGCAGCCAAGGACATGGCAGCCAGGCAATGTAGACAAGACTCTGCCCTCATGCCCCATCGCACACAGTTGATGGTGCAGGGCGTGGGCAGAGGGCATGGCCACCGTGGCGCTGCTGGGCTCCCTAGGCGATCTGTGGTGGGCCCTGGAGGCAGTGAGTGGCCCTGCGGGCAGGCGGGACGGGGGATGGTGTGGGGGCAGAGCGGGGCCCTGGCAGGGGGTGGAGTGGGGGCGGGGCCAGTTTTGGGGCACTCGGTCTCTAAAAGATTCGCCATCACTGACATACAAAAACAAAGCCCTGGGTTGTAGCCCTTCATAGTTTTTCACTTTCTCAGAACACCCAGAGTGCTATTCTTGAAAATGAAGATGATGCTTTGTCTTCAGCGTAACAAGTTTTCTTTTTTGTTTGAGGCTAAAACCATCTTTAGAAAAGAAGAACAGGGCGAGGGTTTGTCAGGAAGTGAGGGAGGCACCAGCAGCCACTGTGCTAAGCAACTGAAACTTGGAGGTTACAAATACATGAATTAGGAGGGCCAGATGGATGCAGGTAATACACTGGCCTAAACTGGTAAGGGATGCTAAAAGCCACAAGGGTTTCAGATCTTGGCAACTACCCTGAGTCTGGTTGTAAATCTTTTGCTTCCTGGTGGGGGAGGGAGGGAATGGGCAAGATATTGTTAGTAGTCTGCTATTCAGATGAACCCCATGCCTACCAGTTGCCAGGAAAATCCTATTGAAATAATTTTATGGAAAATAACAACAACAACAACAATAATAATAGTAAAGTTGGAAGGGATCTTGGAGGTCATCTAGTCCATCCCCCTGCTCAGGGAGGAAACCCTACACCATTTCGGACAAATGGCTGTCCAGTCTCTTCTTAAAAACCTCCAGTGTTGGAGCATTCACCGCTTCTGGAGGCAGGTTGTTCCACTGGTTAATTGTTTTAACTGTCAGGAAGTTTCTCCTTAGTTCTAGGTTGCTTCTCTCCTTGCTTATTTTCCACCCGTTGCTTCTTGTCCTGCCTTCAGGCGCTTTGGAAAATATTGGAAAGGATGCCAAAGAAGATAAAATTGGAGCAGGATTTAAACCCCAATCCAGACACACAACTCCCTGGCTAGCTTTAGGCATATCCCTTTCTCTCTTTTTATTTGCAGAGTTAGGGCACAACTGGGTGGTGCAGATGTATATTTTCTGCCCTGAATTTTTCCAGTGTGTAAACTCTGCTCTGACTTTCCTAGGCTGCTCGGAGATTCACACCTCAGAACTCAGATGGATACACACCAGAACCCTTTGGTGAGTTTGAGAACAATAAAATGTTTATTTTATTGGCAGGGAAGCTCGCAAATGGCATTCACATGACGGTGGCTCACTGCGATGTCATAATTGTGAGCCAAGTACCTAATTGCGCAGATTGTGATCATGTGACTGCTGCAAAAATCACCAGTTCATGGATCAGTCATAGATTCCCCCTCATTCAGTGCTGTCATAATTTTGATTGTTAGCAGAATAACAGAATCAGAAGGGATCTTGGAGATTTTGTAGTCCAACCTCTTGCTCAAACAGGAGATCCTATGCCATTTCAGACTTCTCATGAAAAATTCAACATTCTGTGACTCTCTGTTCTTGACACCTTATTATATTGGCAGAGTCAATCAGAAATGAATAAAAGCGGGTGAACCAAGACCAACTCTTACTGGTACTAAGAATTATTATTGCAATCTTCTGTCTGAAAAGAAGACATGACAACACAATTCCTGTAAGGAATGCTGTTCCCCAAAGGGTGGTTCAGCCAGCCTAAATTAAAATTAAAAATTCTTATTAGCTTGTTATTTATAAGGTTCCATCCACTGTTCAGGCTGCAACTTGTTTTGGAAAAAAGTTTATTGCGCTTTTACTAGAACTCCACAGCATCATGAACCCCAAACATGTGTTTACTTTCTTCTAGTCTCCATGTAATCTCAGGCTGAAAAATTCTCTTTTTGGCCACTTCGTAAAGACATATTCGAAACTTACTTTTCTTTCCATTAAAAAATAATAATAAAAAGTAGTACTACCACTGGCCACAGGAGGGTGTAAAGTAATACACAATATCAAACAATGTTAGGAATACACTGTACAATATGTGTTACTTGATCCCCCTCTTGTGGCCACTTGTGGTGTTACTGTTTAAAAAAATTACAGTACTTTGACTTTAGAAGTTCAGGATAATCAGCCAAGTACATGCTTAATACTTGCCAGGGAGACCAGCAGCAGAGTAATGTCCTCCTGTTGGAGATTTGCTTAGTTCTAATTACATTTGCCTTCTGGAAGGAGTTCAACTTTTCTGAAGGGGAGGTATGAAGCCAGTCCTAATTGTTACTAGTGGGTTTTAGGCATTTTAGATCTTTGATCTTTTGTATTATAAAATATTAATAAAATATCTTGTGTCTTTTTTAAGCCCTGGAGAGATTGTTTAGATTGTAGTGTGGTAAAAATTTGACAAATTTTAACACACACACACACACACACACTCCTTGTGGCCAATTAGATGTTTCTTGCGGTGTTCACAAAGTTTTCCCCCAGTGTTGTTCTCCTTCAGTCATAGTTGGAGGCCTGCTGCCTTCAACCCCGAAGTATTATGGCATCTTCAAGCCTCATATCCCTTGGTTGGCTTTTCCCCCCATGGATTTAAGTCGCCCTACTTGAAATCCTGAATTTGCTATTGGAGAAAGTGAGAAGAGCTTGAATAGAAAGGAAGCCATAAGGCATTGTTAGAAGGTTCAAATATTTTAAGGTCTCTAAAGGTCTGAGCAAAGATCCAAGTAAGCTCAACGTATTGTTCCAATACCCACTTTTGCTAATATTCTGATTTCCCTTAGATTTTTGCAAGATACCTCACAGAGTTGCATGGAGAGCATAATTTTCCCTTGTTATTTAATCCCACCACTTGGTGATAAGAAGACTATTGCTGTGATTAACCAAGGTTCTGTTCCATTTGAATGAAAAATAATTGATTGGCGTACTTACAGGTCACTAATACAACACGGGGAGCTTGAACTGTGCCTAGGAGGAGGGGGAATTGTGAAATAAGGAAGGGGATCTTCAAACATGAAACCCACAATTAATCTACTTTACTTTCTTGGGGACTGAGTAGGAGCAGGGAAGAAGACTCGAATTTTGCCCATGGATACCTCCTGTTATGAAAGCCCATACAGTGATCCCGAAGAGCTGAAGGATCGGAAGCTATTCTTAAAAAGGAGCAGTCTGATCATGGATGAAGTGGACCTGGGAGAAGGCAACTTTGGGTGTGTCAGGAAAGGAGTTTACAAAATGAGGAAGTAAGTGCATGCCATGTTTTTGCATATATTTCTCTTAATGTGCTGAGACAGATCTGTGCAGTTTTCAGAAGCTGCTATTCCCTATGAAAAAAAATCTAATTTGTTTTGTTCGTCTTTTGGGGAAATCCTTAAATTTGGAGGTAATTTGGGGGTGGCTATCTTAACTTGGTGGAGGGAAAGTAACATTCCAAAATAGCAAATAGCATCACCCACTTTAGAAGGGTATACTTCACAGGAAAGCCTGGCATGGTCCTCAAGCTACAGGAAGTGGTCTACACAGGGAGTGGGATACAACAAAGAGTCACAACTTGGGGGTGTTACAATCAATATGTTCCTTTGCTTTGAGGTTCATTTTTTGGTTGTTATTTTAAAAACCCACATTTTGTTTTCAGGAAATTATGTAACATTCGTTCTCTTTCATAGAAATTGTTGTGGTTACTTTTTCTTATATATATTTTTGACTAAGATAAGAGAGCTATGTTGGCAGCTATTTTCTGATGACTGCCATTTTATTTTCCCAGAATGCCATGGGGATGTTTTGTTTAAGGACTAGTTGGGAAATAAAATTGCACTCACTGGGGGGGAGGGCTGCCCCAAATAGTTGACATTTCTAGAAAGAAAGAAAAAGAACAACTACGAATCACATGTGTTCGGAGTTATATTCAATTTTTTGTTTGGAATTACACTCATTTTGAAACTATTCAGGCTCCTCGCATCAACTGTTCCCTACTTTTGCTATCATGGGTGGCATCTCCCATCTAGGGGAGATAGGCTAGCACTGTTCCAATATATGAGGGGCACCTACAAAGATGAGGGGTTCAAACAATTTTCCAAAGCACCAAAAGGCAAGACAAGAAACAATGGATAGAAACTAACCAAGAAGAGAAGCAATCTAGAACTAAGGAGAAATTCCTAATGGTGAGAGCAATCAACCAGTGGAACAGCTTGCCTTCATCACTGGAGGCTTTCAAAAAGAGACGGGGCAACCATTTGTCTGAAATGCTCAATCAGGAGGTTGGACTAGAAAACCCCTGAGGTCTTTTCCAATTCTATTATTTTATGTTCTATGTTCTATCTTCTCATTTTTACTCCCTTCCAGGAAGCAAATTGATGTAGCCATCAAAATGCTAAAAGAGGGCAACGGAGTGGTACAGCAGGATGAAATGATGAAGGAGGCCCAGATTATGCACCAGCTTGACAATCCTTACATTGTCCGTCTCATTGGCGTGTGTCATGCGGAAGCCCTCATGCTGGTGATGGAGATGGCATCAGGTGGTCCCCTGCACAAGTTCTTGTCTTCCAAGAAGTGAGTTGATGCCATCACATCATGCAAGAAATTTATACCTTTCCATCAGTTCAAGGACTGTGGAGATTCTCAGTTATCCAGGTCATGGTTGTTCCCAAGGTGCTTTTTCCAAAGGCAGCTGGGACTTTGTTTTTCCTTGAAGATGTTTCGCTTCTCAACCAAAAAGCTTCTTCAGTTCTGTCTGACAGTCTGACAGTTCTGACAGTCAGAACTGAAGAAGCATCTTGCATGAGAAGCAAAATGTCCAAGGAAAAACAAAGTCCAGCTGCCTTTTGAAAAAGCACTTTTGGGAGATCCATCAATTCAGTGTCACTGAGATAATCATAAAAACCATATATTCTGGAAGGGGTCTTTGATGTCATCTAGTCCACCTTTCAGCTAAGTGGAGTGGGAGAGTGGGAGAGGCCTTGGGACTCCTGACCCAGGGGCTGAAAATCCTCCCTGACAAGTTGCCGAATTTTGATCACATGACCACAGGGATGTTGCAACAGTTGTAAGTGTGAAAAACAGTCAAAAGTCACTTTTTTCAATGCCATTGTAGCTTTGAACAGTCCCTAAGTGAATGGTTGTAAGTCAAGCACTACCTGTAATAAGGAAATGAACGAGGGCAGGGTTATGTTGTGCTTGTGAGATAAACCCTTCCATTATCTGGAATTCTCCAGATGTATTTGATCTACCGATCCTAAAATACTTACCAGTAGCCAAGTGGAGAGGTAAAGTTTCAGTCCATAAGGAGCACTTCAAGTACAAGTAGTCCTTGACTTACGACCACAATTGAGGCCAACATTTCTGTTGCTAAGCAAGACAGTTATTAATTGAGTTTTGCCCCATTTTACAATCCGTCTTGCCAGAGTTGTTAAGTGAATCACTGAAGTTGTTAAGTTGGTAACATGGTTGTTAAGTGAATCCGGCTTCCCCATTGACTTTGTTTGTCAGAAGGTCACAAAAGGTGATCATGTGACCCCCCAGGACACTGCAACCATCATGAGTCAGTTGCCAAGCAGCTGAATTTTGATCATGGCTATGGGGATAGCTGCAATGGTCGTAAGTGTGAAAAATGATCATACAACACTTTTTTCAGTGGCTTTCTAACTTCGGTCATTACACAAACTATTGTAAGTCGAGGACTACCTATATGGCAGTGGTTCTCAGCCTTTTTAATGCCGCGACCCCCCAACCGGTCGTAAGTCGAGGACTACTCAACCGGTCGTAAGTCGAGGACTACTCAACTGGTGCAGCACCGTTTGCAGAATGGGACTTTTGGCGGGCTCAGCAGGCAGAGACAGCCTGGACAATTCCTATTGGCTTTTGAAAGCCAATAGAATTAGACTCTATTCAAGAGAGTCTATTCTATTGGCTTTCAAAAGCCAATAGAATAAAAGGGAGTAGCACAGCTAAGGAAAAGGGGAAAAAATGGCGGACTGCGTTGTTTGGCGACCCCCGTGAAATGGTCGTTCGACCCCAAATGGGGTCCCGACCCACAGGTTGAGAACCACTGCTATATGGGAACACGGTTGTGAGATTTTTCTCTCTTCATTTTCCCTCAGGGATGAAGTTCCTGTGAACAATGTGGTCGAACTGATGCATCAGGTATCCATTGGGATGAAGTATCTGGAAGAAAAGAATTTTGTCCACCGGGACTTGGCTGCCCGAAATGTGTTGCTTGTCAACCAGCATTATGCCAAGATCAGCGATTTTGGGCTTTCCAAAGCTTTGGCAGCTGATGACAGTTATTATATGGTGAGCAAGAAGACAAGATGGGAAATCAATCCTGCCGGCATTTCAGAGAGACCAATAGAGGAGGATATTTGTAGTTCATGGTTGACATGAGGGGTCCTTGGTGCTCTCTGAGCTTGCTTGTTTTCTTGCAGATGTTTCATTACCCAAACTAGGTAACATCATCAGGGCTAGTGCATTAGTGCATCGCTAGCACTGGTGATCTTACCTAGTTTGGATAATGAAACATCTGCAAGAAAACAAGCAAGCTCAGAGAGCGCCAAGGACCCTCATTTCAGAGAGAATTTTGTTGGAAGGATGGGAAGGTATTATTTCATTCTCATTTTAATGCAAGCATTCCCAATTAGCATTTCCTGGATGCATAAAGCCACAACAAATATCCCATTTTCTGTTGTTGTTAGTTGCGAAGTCATGTCCGACCCATCGCGTCCCCATGGACCACGTTCCTCCAGACCTTCTGTCCTCTACCATCTTCTGGAGTCCATTTAAATTCACACCTCCTGCTTCAGTGACTCCATCCAGCCATCTCATTCTCTGTCGTCCCCTTCTTCTATTTCCCTCCATCTTTCCCAGCATTAGGCGCTTCTCCAGGGAGTCCTTCCTTCTCATTAGGTGGCCAAAGGACTTGAGTTTCAACTTCAGGATCTGGCCTTCTAAAGAGCAGTCAGGGTTGATCTCCTCCAGGACTGACCGGTTTGATTGCCTTGCAGTCCAGGGGACTCGCAGGAGTCTTCTCCAGCACCAGAGTTCAAAGGCCCCAATTCTTTGGCGCTCAGCCGTTTTCTATATATCTCTTTTTCTTTATATCTTTTTTACAGTTCTGTCCTTAGTCTCTTTTAACTTTCTTTCTTTCTTTCTTTCTTTCTTTCTTTCTTTCTTTCTTTCTTTCTTTCTTTCTTTCTTTCTTTCTTTCTTTTGTTAGTTAGTTACAGGTAGTCCTTGACTTACAGCAGTTCATTTGATGACCATTTGAAGTTACAAGGGCACTGAAAAAAGTGACTTATGACCATTTTTCTCACTTACAACGATTGCAGCGTCCCCAGGGTCACGTGATCAAAATTCAGACATTTGGCAACTGACTTGTATTTATGACGGTTGCAGTGTCCCGAGGTCATGTGATCCCTTTTTGCAACCTTCTGACCAGCAAAATCAATGGGGAAGCCAGATTCACTCAACAATTGTGCCCAGAAAGGTTGTTAAATGGGGCAAAACTCGCTTAATAAATGTCTCACTTAGCAACAAAAATTTTGGGCTCAGTTGTGGTCGTAAGACTACATGTATTTATATTTCATTTTTCTAAGCTGCTCATCTCCTATCTCCCTCAAAGAGAGACTCTTGATTATTTGTTTATGTTTATGTGCATACTTTGTACAACATGATAAAATTATTTGGAACAAAAATACCAAAGTAAAAAGACACCCAGATCAGTAAAATCAGGAAAAACCAAATCAGTAAAAAAAACAATCATGACAAAAAATAGAACCATGCAATGAATCTTTGAACATGATATGAGTGATGTGAATATCGCACCTGCACACAGCCTTTTAAAGCAGCCGTGTGTTTTCTTGGGATTGCATAGCTATTGCAATCCTGGAGGAATGTTGTCCATGGGGTCGCGATGGGTCGGACACGACTTTGCAATTAACAACAACAATAGCTATTGCCAAAGATGGACCATGACCATAGGAAATGTATGAGTACTTTAAAGAGTTGCAGACAGATGCAACATTCCTGCTCCTGCCCATTCTAACTTGTTTTTCCAAATATATTGTTTATTTTTCTTTATTTACAGGATGTATAGACCTTTAGAATCTGGCAACTGTGTAAATATTTCTAAAGAACTGCCTAGTCTTTGAAAATATAGTTACCAAAGCGAAAATAAATGTAAAGTAAAGAGACAGAAAAAAACTGGGGGGAGTGAAATTTCCTCTACAATTGCTAGGTGATTGGGAAAGTCTTATTCTGGCACAAGAAAAAGGTCAATTACGTTTTAACTGAGCCCCAGAAAAATTGAGGGTGCCACTGCGGAAAAGCGCTTCTTTTTTTAAATTCATAACATGATATTGCTAAAAGGACTATTTGAAGAAAGGCTATAGCAGTGGTGGCGAACCTATGGCACATGTGCCAGAGGCGGCACTCAGAGCCCTCTCTGTTGGCACGCGTGCCACTACCACCAGCAGCAGGTCCATCAGGCTGCCACCGCCGCCTGGAGCAGGAGCCCCCCCCAGCACAAAGGAGGTGAAGTAGCCGATTAGCAAGCTTGAGTAGAGGTGGTAGAGCAGAGGTCACCAACCATTGTCGATTGATGGACTGGAAGAAAAAGGAGGGGGAAGCATTTTACATGTGTGCATGCACACACGGGGCCGCGAACACACACACTCTGCAAATGGGGCAGAGCTAGTGCCTGCATGATACTCACTATCCCTGCCCTGTTCTTGCGTGGTGCAGCACCTTGTATCTGCACCCCACGGTGTGGCAGTGGCCATTTTTGCACTTTGCAGCACGGTGGCCCATTTTTGCACCCCTGGTTTTTGTGTGCCAGAGGCGGCACTCAGAGGCGCCTCCCTGCCCCCCCCCCCAGTGCACCACAATGCTGATGTGGCCCTGGCACTTTGCGATAAATAAATGGGTTTTGGGTTGCGATTTGGGCACTCAGTCTCTAAAAGGTTCGCCATCACTGGGCTATAGAAACTTAAAATCTTAAATTTCAGGATGCGGATCAATTTTAAATATTATTTGTTTGGGAGTTTGTTTTTTGTCTACATTATCAGGAAAATATTCTGATCTATTGAATTTGATCATTATACACATAAATAAATAAGCAAATGAATTGGTAAACTCTGTTAAGTGCACTTGCCTGTGTGGGTGCCACAGCAGAGTCTGTTCTACTGAATATCAAAAATCCATCTAGATAGAAATCTATGATGGATATCTTTTATGACCTTTAAGATAAAGCTGCTTATACAGGTATCGAAAATTTAGGAGAATTTCAAGAGTTGCAAAGGAGACTATATCACTTTCCCTCCATCATTTTGTATTTCAGGAAAAATAAATATGTGCTTGTACAGATAGTCCTCAACTTATAACCATTTGTTTAGTGACCGTTCAAAGTTCACACTTACGACTGTTACAGCATCCCCATGCTCACATGATCAAAATTGGGATGCTTGGCAATTGGTTGATATTTATGACTGTTGTGGTGTCCTTGGGTCATGTGATCACCTTTTGCAACCTTCAGACAAGCAGAGCAAATGGGGAAGCCAGATTCACTTAACACCTGTGTTTCTAACTTAACAATTGCAGTGATTCAATTAACATCTGTGGCAAAAAGGTTGTAAAACAGGGTGAAACTCACTTAACAACTCTCTCGCTTAGCAACAAAAATCTTGGGTTCCGTTGTGGTGGTAAGTCAAGGACTACTTACTTGGTCTTCTCAAATAATTTATCTCATCCAAAGAATTTTTACTGGAGAAATTTCTATTCTGTCCTTGCCCACAGGCCAAAACCACTGGGAAGTGGCCTTTGAAGTGGTATGCGCCAGAATGCATCCTGTTTCGGAAGTTTTCAAGCAAGAGTGATGTCTGGAGTTATGGGGTGACTATGTGGGAGGCCTTTTCTTATGGCCAGAAACCCTACAAGGTGAATATGGGTGTTTACTAGGGAGGGTTCAAAAAAGTTAAGATGGTGCTGTGATCACACAGTTTTAAGAATGGGGCTGCTATTGTACGGTTGGGAGGCCACCTTAAATGAATTTTGTATTTTTTTTATTTTTTAATTGTATTTTTATTGCTTTATTTTGGTAAATACATTTTGACTTTTGACTAGCCCAGGGATAGGCAACTTGACTCTTTTATGACTCGTGGACTTCAACTCCCAGAATTCCTGAGCCAGCCATGCTGAGGGGAAGGGAGAGATTTCCAAGCTGAGCCATGCTGGCTCAGGAATTCTGGGAATTGAAGTCCACGAGTCATAAAAGAGCCAAGGTTGCCTACCCCTAGACTAGCCCATGGGTGCCTCTGAATTGGAATCTACTTCTGGATGTGTGCAATTGGCTCCAGGTTTTTGTAAACAGGATTCAGCCAAAATTATTTTCCTCATATGAAAGCTTTATTAAGTGTCTTCTGAAGACCGGAGATGAAAATAGTGTTGGTTAAACACAAAAAACCTTTCCAGCCAAAGCACCTGATTTCATCATTTTATTTTCTAAGAAAAGCTTTGAGATTGCTATTTATTTGTATCCTACTTTTATTATTTTTACAAATAACTCAAAGCGGAAAACATATCCAGCACACCTTCCTCCTCTTATTTTTCCCACAACAACAACCCTGTGAGGTGGCTTGGGTTTAGTGAGAGTGACTGGCCCTAAGTCACCCAGCTAACTTCATGGCTATGGTAGGACTTGAACTCGTGCTCTCCTGCTTTCTAGCCTGGTGCTTGAACTACTAGCCCAAGCTGGCTCTCTATGGGCTCAGAGGTGATGGCAGATATAAAGGTTTTACTTAAATATAAAGCTTGCTTTGTGGCATGTTAGCTTCCACTTAATTACTTTTAATATTAAAATAATCTTTAGATAAAGGGTTGGGTGGGGTGGGCAATCTGGTGAGCATCAAGGAAGGTATTGCCAAGAGTCCTGATGTCTCTAAAGAACTTAGAAAGTAGGAAGCTGAATTGATCATGAGGTTTTGTGTGTTTGCTTATTTAAAAGATGCCCATCTTACACAATATAAACCTGGGAAGCTAACCCAACCCAACCCGTATAACATCAAGAAACAGACCCTTTCTTGGTGGGTCAATATTGGAAGAAAGACTCTCTGCCTTCTTTAGAAGAATGGGTATTTAAGGTTTCTAATTTAGCAGAAATGGCTAAAATTTCTGCTTATTTAAAGGACCATTCACAAAAGAGATATGTTTCTGTATGGAGAAGATGGATAGAATATGTTCAGAAGAAATATGGAACTACAAAGTTTCATTTATTTTATGAATAATGGATTGTTTATAAAATTATGATGTTAAAGTTTGAAGAGAGTTAAGGGTTAATATGATTTTGGTTATTGTATAATTAGTAAACTTAAATAGATTATGTTTAATATGTTTGTATAACCCTGTACTTGGCTCTGGGAAATGGAGGGGAGGGGGGAGGGGGGGAGGATGGCTTGAAGGTTAAATAGCTCAGATAAGTAGAAATAGTTTCATTTATATAATATTATGTTTTATTTTGGAGAGAGGAATTGCTCGGGCATTTCTCCTGGACTGCATCCGGAATGAGAGGATAGGAGGCAGGGGAGAAGTAAGTAGGAAGGTTGAGGAGAAGGAGGAGAGGGGGAGAGTGAAGAAGAAGAGGGAAAGAGAGAAGTGAGAGAAGAGGTTAGAGGGTGGATGCGGTTTGGAGGAAAATGGGTGAGCAATACCGAAAGTTGTGTGTATAAATTTATTTTACTCTTTATCTGAAGTATTTTTTATGATGTAATGTAAAATTGAAAATAAAAAAAAATTTACAAAAAAAAAGAAGAAAGAAACAGACCCTTTCTAAAAGACAACCAAAACACCAAAACAGTTTAACACCAGATGCACATGTGTTGGGCTCAACTCCCATCCTGGCCCAGCACCAGGGGAAGAGCCAGGTTTTCATAGCCTTCTGGAAGGTCAAGGAAGTAGGAGACCTCTGGCTTGTTTTGGGTTTTGTCGCTCCTTGTAGAGCAGGGGTTCTCAACCTTGGCAACTTTAAGACTTGTGGACTTCAACTCCCAGAATTCCTCAGCCAATTCCTTAATGCAATGGAAGGGAATTAAGCTTTAGAGCTTTGCTGGCTGAGGAATTCTGGGAGTTGAAGTCCACAAGTCTTAAAGTTGCCAAGGTTGAGAACCTCTGTTGTAGAGTAAGGAAGATGACTTTGATGGAAATATTGCACAGGCAAAAGGAGCCAAAGCATTTTTTTAAAAAGTCCACAACAGCCAGAAAACATTAGTGAACAGTTCAGAGCAACATCTCCCTAATTCACAAGAGTGTAAGAAGGAGAAGGAGGCCTAGCACGATCAGCCTTGCAAAACTCTTATGATAGCCGGTTTCAGTCAAAGTAGTTTTCGCTTTCTTGTGCACTTGATTTCATGATCTGGTCCACTTAGTGGGGCTGACACTAGCGTTTTACCAAAACAGATGTTCAACTTTATTAACCAATCTCTTTCTCCCCTTCTAGAGAATGAAAGGACCCGAAGTCATGGCATTCCTTGAGGAAGGGAAGCGTATGGACTGTCCATCCAGCTGTCCGCCAGAGATGTATAAGCTGATGAATCAATGTTGGACGTACAAGTAAGGCGAGACCATCCACTTCTCTTTCAGTTTGGCAGTAGAGGCAGGCTGAGTCTATCGGTCAAGGAGGATCATATTTCCAGACTCAGAAAGCATACTTTTCTGAATCGATAAAGGAGCATATTTGTAGCTCAAAGGCAAAATAAAGAGTGCTTGGTGTTCTCTGAGCTTGGTTGTTTTCTTGCAGATGTTTCATTACCAAAGTGGGTAATGGATGATGTTAACTAGTTTGATAATGGAACATCTGCAAGAAAATAACCAAGCTCAGAGTGCACCAAGGACTCCTCATGCTTTTCTGTTGCAGTCTTTGTCTTTGGGAACATGATTCTCCCTATGATTTTGCAAAAGTTTGAAACCTGGAAGTGTTGCTGGGCATGGAGGTGGATGGTTGTAACTATCAACTGTCATTTCTTGACATTTTGTCCATAGTTGCAAATGCCTCCATTCTAGAGATGAGATTTCTTTGGGGGATGGAACTTTGCAATGTATGTAGGTGTGTCATTCAGACAAGATCATTTCCCCCTTATTTCTGACATGTCTACTTTCTTGTCCCCAGATGGGAAGAGCGCCCAAATTTTGCTGCTGTGGAGACACTGATCCGCACATATTACTACAGCATTGCTGACAAGAAGGAAGAGAAGGAGTAGGGAAAAAAATTACACTGGCATAATGATGGACTCATGAAAATGGTTGGAAGGCACACGTGCCCATCGCCTCATGCCAGCTTCAGCATTTCTGAAGGAATGATGTGCTGCAGAGCTCCAATTTCTTCACTCATTCAATGAATCTCTCTCTCCCTCCCTTTTTATCTGGGGTAGCAGATAATTAAATTAAATAATTAAATTAAATAATTAAATTAATTATTTTAATTAAATTAAATAATTAAATTGGGAGACTAAGATGGCCATTTTGAGCTCATTCTGCTCTCTTCAGTTAGCCACACCCTTTATGGGATTCGAACCTGGGCAGTTTACATACTAGGCAGTGATTTAACCACCAAGCCACAGGCTCTCCTCCCTCTTTGCCAGCTGAGTCAAGGGAGTATATGCAGGATGTTTTTCAGACAGATGTCTAATTGATTACACCTTGACATTTTTTAACTGCTATACTGCAGTTTTACTTTTTACAATCTCTTTTGCCTTGCAGCCCCCAACTAGGGGCGTTAAGCAGGCTCAAGTCGCAACTGCGAAACATTACAAATCCAAATTTCTTTTTCTGACAAAGAATTAAAGAATTAAATTGGGAGATGGCCATCTTAGTCTCCAATTTAATTCTTTAATTCTTTGTCAGAAAAAGAAATATGGATATATATATATATATATATATATATATATATATATATATATATATATCCGATTTGTAATGTTTCGCAGTTGCGACTTGAGCCTGCTTAATGCCCCTAGTTGGGGGCTGCAAGGCAAAAGAGATTGTAAAAAAAAAAAGTAAAACTGCAGTATAGCAGTTAAAAAATGTCAAGGTGTAATCAATTAGACATCTGTCTAAAAAACTTCCTGCATATATATACAAATACCCTAAAATTGGAAGTATCTTGGCAACGTTTCGACAAAGTCCCATTCGTCATCTTCAGGCTGGTGTTTTCAGCTTCGTGCTTTGAGCAGCAATGTGACAAGATATATATATATATATATATATATATATATATATATATATATATATATATATATATATATATATTTTGAACAAATCACCAAGGAAATATCTTGGGTGCAATGTTTACCTTCTGGCTTTGCAAAATCTGTTAATGAGACTGTGGGGATTAGAATGTTGTGAGGACTCTCTTGGGTAAGGAAAGGAGTTTTAATTTGGGGGCCATTCCTATTTTATGTTTATTTTTGTTGTTTTTTCCTATGTATTTGTTGGATTGTTGTTAATTGTTTTGGGTGGGAATGTACAAAAATTGGAATTGTATATGCTGCACAGGGTCATTTCGATTGGGCTGAGTGATCAGCATTGTAAAATAAATAAAAATGAGAAGCATCTGTTTCTTCCCTAGAGTGCCTCAATGCCTGCTCTTTTGTAACAGACAGAATAACAGAATGACAGAGTTGGGAGGGACCCTAGAGGTCTTCTAGTCCAACCCAATGCTCAAGCAGGAAACCCTACACCATTTCAGACAAATGGCTGTCTAATATCTTCTTTAAAACCTCCAGTGTTGGAGAACCCATAACTTCTGGAGGCAAATTGTTCCATTGATTAATTTTTCAGTCAGGAAAATTTCTTCTTAGTTCTAGGTTGCTTCTCTCCTTGATTAGTTTCCATCCATTGCTTCTTGTCCTGACTTCAGGTGCTTTGGAGAATAGCTTGATCTTTTCTTCTTTGTTAACAGCCTCTCAGATATTGGAAGACTGCTATCATGTCACCCCTAGTCCTTCTTTTCATGAAACTAGACATACCCAATTCCAGCAACCGTTCTTTATATGTTTTAGTCTCCAGTCCCCTAGTCAGTGGTGGGATTCAGCCGGTTCGCACCACTTCGGCAGAACCGGTAGCTAATTTTTTGTTGCCCACACCCAGAATGGACTTCCGGAAATGGCATCCACACAGAGAACCAGTTGTTCACATATTTGAATCCCACCACTGTCCCAACTCCTTCTTTGCATTAAGCTAGACACCCAATTACTGCAACTGTTCTTCATATGTTTTAGACTGCTGTATCTTTGGGGCATTGAGTTTGGCAACTCCCATTTGATACCTTAGGATTGCAAATCCTAGGATTCTTGTTCCAGATAGAGGGAGGGACAACTGTAAGGTAAGATTGGTAACAACAAAAGGCCATCAATACCCTCTTCAAAAGCCAGCAATGTCAGGGCTCCCAGATCGTCTCTGCAGAGTATGGTTAGAAATGTCGATGGCAACCATGATGTTTTTTAATGTGTGTTGCACATGCAATGCATGTAGAAAATGGATGGAGCTATGAAAATACTGCTATAGTTGTCTTGATGTTTTTTATTCTGCGGACATCCTTGGTCAGCTAAATGTGAAAATATTTATTCCTCTTTTGTTTTATGAATGGAACAATTATGCTTTTCATGGCCATTCTGATTTCCCTGATGTTTTTCTGGCTGGCAGTTGGCAGGAAAAACCTCTGGGCACTTAATAGTTTTTTTAAAAGATGTCCTGGAAGTGAATAGGTATAGGAATAGTTCTCAAAATATTTGCTACAAAAAGCATTCGTAAAGTTGGTCATGAGAAATACTGGATCAATACGGTCATGAGCATACAGTACTTCTGTACGTTGCTCTCATGCATGTGTGTGTGTGCATGTCTATGCAGGCATGTGTGTGTGTTTGTGCAGAGTAAATCTCAAAAAGTGGGAAAGCAAACAATCCCTTTTTAAAATTAATTTTATTTTTGCATATTTTAATCTGCAATAATGTAATCAGTGTTTCTTAAACTTTTTTCTCTCAGGACCTCTTCCCACTTTTAAAAATTATGGAAGACCCCAAAAGAGCTTTCATTTTTATAGATTACATTTATTAATATTTACTGTATTAAAAATTAAAATTGATGCACCTGGTGTTGCTACCGCTTCTCACAATTGTTTGGTGGGATGTTAATATTGTATCATAATTCAACATTGGCTGGCAAATAATTTTGATTTTGCAGATCTCTGAGAGGATATTAGGGATATAATCGTTATATTTATTTATATTTATATTATAATAATTATCTTAACAGATAATATTAAAGCTGCTGCAAATTCCATAGTTTGGATACTGGGAGGGGAAGAACACTTTCTTCCTAATTTTGTTGTGCCTGGGGTATGAATCAACAACCTAATTCAAATACATTAATGGTGATATCCCTTCTTCTGCATGGGGCATGCACCTGCTTCAAGGAACAAATATTTTTTAAAAAAACTAAGCATATTGAACTCAAATTCTGAGGAATTCATGGACACAACCCTGCAGCTTTCTTGGCAATACACAGGCAGGTTCTGCCATCAGACAACTTTGTAAAATACTTGTGCAAACATGAGGGGTGTTGGAATTCATTGTTAAAATGTAGTTTTGTCCAACAACTACAGTAGTATTCAGACAGTAGATGACAATATTTACAAGTTTGGATCTATGGTGTATATTCCATGTTCTTTTGTCCTAAGGAGAGTTTCCTGTTTCCTGTTATACTTTAAAACAGTCAAGCAGTAAAGCACATGGTGACTGTACACCTTGTTTGATCTGTAGTGATATATATATAAACAGAAATTTTAACAAGGGGTGCCATGGGATATGGTCAAAAAAGTCAAGATGGTGGCTGCAACAGTAGCATCAAAGCTCTGCCCATTTTTTATGTGCATCACCTGCACAACTCTATAAAAACTGACGGAGCTTTGATGTCGTTATCATGGTTGCCATCCTAATCTTTTTGACCACATCCTGCATGCATGCAATGCTTCATTGTATTACCACCCTAATTATAGACTTCATATCTTGCACAGAAGTCCTTAATCTCACAATAATAGTTATGGGTTCCTATCAGGTTTGGCTAAATTCTGAAGCACATCTATCTCTTGGGCACCCTTAAATCAAAGTGGAACTCTTCCCTAGATTCTGCACCTATTCTTTTGAAATTAAACAGGCTTAATTTGGTAATAGTATATGCTAAGGCAGATATCATTTTTTAAAATAAAGATTACAAAATGAAACTAAACATGAGGTAAGGGCAGTGAAATTGGTCTACATCCTAAACAGAAGATGTGCTTCTGTCTTTAAAAATTGCATCTATGTTCAATTCTTCAAGTTTATTAGTTTTTTTGGTTAAGTCATTCTCATAAATTCCCATAAATATAGCATGTTTTTTGGGGAAATTCAGAATGAAAAGATGACCTTTGCACAATTCTTCGGAGAGCTGACTGCAGAACAATGTATTTAGAAATTTTTGTAACTCAGAGTTGAAACGAAGGGTCCTTGGTGCTATCTAGTTTGGTTGTTTTCTTGGAGATGTTTCATTATCCAAATGCTAGCACTGATGACGTTACCTGGTTTGGGTAATGAAATATGTCCAAGAAAACAACCGAGTACAAAGAGCACTACCATGCACCCCTTAGACATTTTTTTCTAAAAATTTCTTAGCAAAATTTAACTCCTTCCTTCCTCCCTCCCTCGCCTATTTGTCTGAAATAACAATTTTTTATTTCTGAACATCTCATCCAATTCTATCACACAAAGTGAAAAGACAATGGAAGAAATGGAGATTCTGATTACTGAATCTGGATTTAGAATCTGAATTGAGTTACTGTGTGTAAGACAGAAAAAACACTAGAGTGAAGAAGCTAAGCCCTGAATTGGGAAGTTTTAATTCTTTTGCTCTCTGCTTCAAAAATACCTTAGCAGTTCTGATCATTTAACCTCTCAGACATGGCATGCTTGTTCCAAGAAGTTTATGACAACGGACACTTCATGTTCACAAGCAGACCATTCTCTGGTTATCAAATTATTTTTTTCTTTGTGAAAATGTGACACTTGCAGAATAAGGTCCAGCGGATTTAAGGAGCAGTTACCTTAAAGCAGGAAATAATTTATTTCTCTGATTTAGAGAACCTGAGGGTTGACTCCCAGAAACTTTGGAGATATCCCTCAAAATGAATGAGATGAAAGTATAAGAAAGAGGATTTTGACTGAAAAGAGTCAGAGTGTCTGCAGGGGCGATAAGAGAACTTAATGCTGATTTCAATTTTAGTGGTTTGTGGGATTGACCTTGGAACTGACAATGAAGATACTGAAGTGATAGATAGCTTCTGACTTGTTGATAGGATCAACTAACAAGTTAAGGAACAAGCTGTGAAGAAATATGCTGTAGACTACCACTTGGTAGAGCAGCTATGAAGATCTTGAAAAGATATTGAGATATCCTGATGTATCTACTATAAAGACCAGAATCATGCA